GCTTGGGTTTGGAGGCTTACCTTTTGCTGTAGACGGGCCTGGCGGGTGGCCTCAGCCTTTTCCTCTTGGCCAATATAAACTTTAAATGCCATGTTTACCAGGTCTCGTATGGAGTTTGGGGGCCTTCCTCAGGCTTTTTAAGTTTTTTTCTAATGTCAGCCACTGACTGGGAGATGAAATGGATGGCTAGAACTGTAGCCCCCGGGAAAGAGGCCAGGTGCAGCCAGATATGAAGGATCCTAGCATTAGTTAATCAGTCGAGGGAGGTGGGGTTTTCAGTAGGATCTTAAGTTATTTCCCTTAATTTATTATAATTAACTACCTTTTGGGCTGCGCTTTGCATGCTCACTAGGAGGCACTGTAGCATTTGGTCTCTGCAGTGGTGGCCATCTTGACCAGTTTGATAGTTTCAATTAGGGTCAGCCTCAGGCACCACCGCTGCACCTACTGGCATCTGATTATCTGTGAGATGTACCTGATCAGGGTGCGCCCTGGCCGCCGTAAGAATGCGATCATGCTCATCTGAAGTGAGGATGGAGGACAGAATTACATAGGTATCATGCCAGGTGAGGTCGTAAGCCTGGGTGAGGTAGCGGAATTTTTGGTGTAAGCAGTAGGATTGGTGGAAAATGACCCGAGGCATTCCTCAATGGTTGATAGATCAGAGAGGGAGAAGCGAACATGTACTCGGACAACGCCTTCCACTCAAGGGGGCAAAGGAGGGAGATTTCATCATTAGGAGCACAGCATGACTGAGTGTGAGCTCTGACAGGTGAGGCTAGGTTGGAACCAGGAAGAGGAGGAGCTGAAGAAGGCAGGGCTGAGGTTCCGCATATGGCAGAGGATTTGTGGGTAGGATTTAATTGGCATGTGGTTGAGGGGCAGTATAGAAGGAGAAGATGGAGGATGACCATTTTAGGAGAAGGATATGAGTGTAAGGTTCGAATGAGGCAACTGAGGCCAGTTATTGAAATAAAGAAATTTAATTGGCTCCTGGGTGAGGTACTATGGTCCGGGGAAAGGGGGCCAGAGAAGTCACACTGACTTCCTGAGGCATAGGGTTTTTATAGCGAGCAAGGAGGAGCAGGGTGCTCTGATTGGTTATGGGGGAGCGAGACATAGATAGGGCAAGCTGCTATTGGTAGGTAGATTGTTGGGCGGGATTCCCACTACGCAAGATTCAACTAGGGTTACATTAACTGGATCCTTCCAAGAGAGCATGTGCTCCTGAGATAGGTTCTGGGTGCAGAGATGTGATGTAGGTCTAGGGTGCAGAGATGGGTGGGTGTGTCCAAGCTCCTAGCGAGGCAACCAACCTTACAATGAGAAGACAGAAACAGAAACGGGAAGGGCAATGGGAAATGACTGCCATCTTAAGAGAGAGAGAGAGAGAGTGAGAAGATAGGAGCAGAAACAGGAAAGGGCCGCCATCTTAAAAGAGAGAGAAAACATAGGAGCAGAAACAGGAGCTGAGAATATAGCCAAATCTGGATTTGCTGCTCAGAATTCACTCACTGCTACATAGTAGTCAGGAACGGGAACCGGTGTCTGGGTTCTCATTCCGAGTATGAGGGTAATGGAGAAAGACCAGAGTGGAAGGATGTCTTCTTGGCGCTTTGGCTTTCGGAACGGACAGGGGAAGCTCCTGGATGTCTCCATGGAACTTCTAACCTGGAGTGAGGAGGGACCCTCCTGGCACGGAGGTGACTACGGACAGGAGTGCTCCTGGGAGTAGGCGGGGGTGAGGTTCTAGCAGCATGTTTAGGCAGCACCAAATATTTTACCCAGTGTCTTACCATGTGGCGACCAATGATGCCGCAGAGTTTGACAGACTCCTGGTTGGTTCAGCTTCTGGGTGAGAAGCTAGCCCTTCCCAAAAAGGGAAAGGAAAAGGGGCTAGGCTCCTCCCGGGTTTTTGGCACCAAATGGAAGGTTTGAATAGGCAACCGAGGTTCCAATGAGGAAACTGAGGCCAGTTATTGACATAAAGAAATTTATTCAGCTCCTGGGCGAGGTTCTATGGTCTGGGGAAAGGGGGCCAGAGAAGTCATGCTGACTTCCTGGGGTGGGGGATTTTTATGGCTATGAGGAATGAGCAACAGCTGGGTGCTCTGATTGGCTCCAGAAGAGTGGGATTGAGATGGGGCAGGCCACCATTGGTTGGCGGGTTGTTGGGCAGGTTTTCCGGTGTGAGAGCCAGCCAGGGTTGCATTAGCCGGAGCCTTCCAGGGAAGTCATGTGGCAGAGCTAGGTGCCAAGTGCAGAGTCTGGTGCCAGGTGCAGAGTCAGGTGCTGCGTGCAGAGGTGGGTGTGTTTGGCCTCCCGGCAAGGCAACTGGCCTTACACCTTCTACTTCACCCCATCTGCAATCTGCATCTAAGGGCCACACAGGTTAAGTATGGCAGAAATGGGACTAACCATTTGGACTCTAGGTCATCTAACCCATGGTCAGGGTTCTGAATTCCAAATCGTACCTCCCTCAGACAGTTCTCAAAATATCTCAAAAATGTAGATCCTTCCTCACTTGCTAGAAACATCCACCTAAATGTTTTATAGGCATGTCAAACTCAACATAGCCAAAACCCCAATTTATCAATTTTTCCTATCCCATCTGTTCCTTACCATGTATTCCCCAAATGTTGGAATTTTAGATTTCCCATGCTAAAGAATTAAGTATCAGTTTCTCTCTCAATAATGAATCAAGTCTTTTCCATTTTATCTTCTTCTTCAAATCTTTTTTCATGCCAACAATCCTCATAATTCATTTCTCACCTAAACTCCCTTTAATAGCAGACATCCAATCTTCATGTGACCTACAAAGACTTCCATGATGTGACCATTATCTATCTTTCTTATCTACTATGTCCTTAAATTTAGTAATTCAGCCATATGAAACTGCTTATGGTTTATTTTTTGTTTCGAGATAGTCTTGCTCACCAAGGAGTACAGCAGTGCGATCTTGGCTGACTGCAACCTCCGTCTCCTGTATTCAAGCGATTCTCATGCCTCAGCTTCCTGAGTAGCTGGGACTACAGGTGCGTGCCACCATGCCCAGCTAATTTTTTGTATTTTTAGTAGAGACGGGATTTTGTCATGTTGGCCAGGATGGTCTTGAACTCCTAGCCTTAAGTGATCCACCCACCTCAGCCTCCCAAAGTGCTAAGATTACAGGCATGAGCCACCGTGCCCAGTCGATTTTTTATTTTATTTAGATATGGGGGTCTCGTCACTCAAGCTGGAGTGCAGTGGCATAATCATAGCTTACTGAAGCCTTGAACTTGTGGGCTCAAGCAATCCTCCCACCTCACCAGTAGATGGGGATTAGAGGTGTGTGCCACCACACCCAGCTAACTTTGTTTTCTCATTTAGCAATGAGTCTAAATGTTGGCCAAGGCTGGTCTTAAACTTGCCTCAAGCAATCTTCCCATCTCAGCCTCTCAACTAGTTGGGATTACATGTGTGAGCTACCACACCCAGTTCTACTTTTAGTTTATGCATAAACTGGGTTGTTTCTCATCAATCTTCATTCATGTGCTCTCTACACCTGTATTTTCTTCTTTCCAGTTTCAGGAGCATGTTCAATTCTCCAATGTCTTAAAAAAAAAAGTAAATCTGAGTTACACCGGCTCTAATGGTTTTAAAATTTAAGAATCAATAAAATGTTTCTATCCTGTTGCCCCTAGTAGAGGTTCTCAGGCATAGAAAACCACCACAAGAATGCATTTCTAGCCACAAAGCTTAACCAATGGGGCTTATAGGTCAAGAGCATTCTGGACATTCAGTTTATTTAAAGCACAACTTCTGGTTCCTAATCATCTCAATTCTTAAGTATCTGTTCTTCAGCATCCTTCCCAAGAGTGATTGCCAAAATTCTGCTTGACTTAGCACGCTGAGTCATCTGGAAAAAGTGACTTGCCGAGGCAAGTCTAGGAAAAAAAAGGCAAAAAAGCCATGTAGGGGACTTACAATAATGTGATGTCAACAGAAGCAGGTAAACCTTATTTAAGGAAATGTTCTGGGCACGTGACACATCAAACCACTGTTCACTTGGAAATCATAACTTGTCATTCAAACTGTGACTACAAGGAAAATATAACAAAATCCAGCATCAGCCTTCAATATTCATAAGATATTCATGAACTTACATACCAATGAGTATAGATTTTGTAATGACAAAGATCACACACATTCATGTTCATGAGCTCATCACAGTAACAGAGCTCTCCTGAGGGCTCAAGGGAAAGAGGACTTTTATCATTCTATCTATACTAATTAAGAGGTATTCAATAAGCAGTGAACTGAATTAAAATAGGACTTAGCTGTTGCCTCACCTGCCCTGAGGTCTTCTCTCTATATTAAGATGCATAAGGTGCCTTTCTTTACTCCCAGAATTCCTTTGCCTGTTTCACTCTCACTGTATTTTCCACTTTATCTTTTAATTTATCTGCTCGGTATTCTTCCTCTAGACTGTGACAATCCTGAGGATTGGGTCATATGTTTTTCATCTTTGTATCCCTAACATACTTGGCATTTGTTAGTAATCAATAAGTGTACCACATGACTGACTAGTCTTTTTACTTGATTAACAAATCAAAAGGTCTAAACCAATGCTATTTAAAGTAACTACCTATGAACTGTTCGTTGTTATAATGCAGTAGAACTCAAGCCAGAATGTTAAAAGGAATGCTTCCTTTTTTTTTTTTTCTGAGAAAGTCTTGCTGTGAAAAAGTATCTAGCAGAACTAATGCTTTGTGATGCAGCTGATTGACATTCTTGCCCCATTTTGATTCAAGTACTTGAAAGTTGGATGAAGACATTTTCATAAGGAAAAACAAAATGATGAGGAGATGGATGGTTAAAATTAACTTCAGGGTCTTCATTCAGTTTTATAAGCACAAATATTCAGACTGTCAAACAGATTTAAATAAAGACACCTATTTTCACTGGTAAAAAAATACAGATACAGTACACTTAAAAAGTTTTTAAAAAGCCAAGACACATTAAAAAAAAAACCTAATAAATTTTTAATTAGAATTTTTTCCTTTTTTTTATAACAGGACAAGTAACAGATTACATCAAACTTCAGAACTTCTCAAATACCTAGTTATTATACACATTCCCATCTGTCTTGCAGGGAGGGATCTTGGTCGGCTTAACAGTTTCAGGTAAAATAAGCTGCATAATAGTATATATTACAATAATAAATGTACAATGTTTACATGAAATATGTTTTAGAAGAAAAAAGATGCTGCTGCATCAAAGGCGACCTTTTAAAATGCCACAACTATTTTTTACATTCACTCTTGCAACAGGTTACAAGATGGGGGTCACTAAGCTCAGATAAATCGCTATGATGCACATAAAATACAGGAAGATTGGTTACTTTATATATTATATATATTTATATTTTCACACGTTAGCATCTGAGACATAAACTGAGAATTTAAAATTTATTCTCTTCAGATAACAAATCATTTTTTATTCTTCATAAACAAGGTGCCCACAAAAGCACATAAGTAAGGCACAATAGGGCTTTCTGTTACAGAATAGTGTGCATCATGTTTACTTAACCAGAAAACGTGCATTATCTGTGCAAGTTCATGCTGCAAACCCAATGCATACAATAAAACAAAAAGGAAACTGAGCTTTAAACAAAACCAAAATTGATACAATTCCAGCTGTTTCACGTATTCATTTGGACTGACAATGATATATTGACAGGTAGCCAATTGTAGATTACAAGTAAAGTTTGCTCAGCAACTATTTTTACCTGAAATTATAAACAGTAATAAAGTAACTTTACTGAAACAAATTAAATACTGAGGCACAAAGCAACGGTCAATCGTGCATTTACTATATTGCAAACTTCATGACCCAACATTGCAAGTATAATTTGTCAAATACACATTTTGCTGCAACAATGTGCCCTGCTTTAAACTTGCCATATAACAGAGGCACTAACATATCATTAAATTATAAATAGATTGGGAAAATGATTTAATCCCAATGGTACTATGTCACAGCCCTAGTATTTATAATAAATACAGCTTTTCGCAAAATATTTTTCCAATATCTGCCAATTTCTTCTTTATTGCTCACATAAATTTGAATCTATTACAACTGGTATCAGAACTTTCACACAAAATCATACTCAAGACATTTTTATATAAAACCTATAAAAGATATTTTAAACTTGTATCTAATACTTCCAGGTGTTTGGCTGTTTGATTTATGCAAAAGTACAGCCATATGTGTATATCTGTGTGTGTGTGTGTATATATATATATACACACATACATTTATATACACACATATACACATACATATATATACACACACATTAGATTATGAATAAAATAGAAAGCTTATTTTACTGCTTTAATGCAGACATCCTCACAAAACAAGACTGCTTTCACCACCACCAGCATTTATACATATATACAAAGCCAGTTTAAGTACATATACATCCACTTACACATATTTGTAACCACTAAGCCCAAATTAATTTTCCCATATTCCAGCTGTAGCAAATGAATCGCTTATAAGCAACAGAAACTTAAGGTTAAATTGGGAAATCAACAGTTTTACCACATTAGCCTGTAGGAACTATGCAGGTGACTGTATACAAAAATTCACAACATTAGTTCACAAGAAATTATGGGACTACAAGAAGCCTTTTCATCATGCTTTTGTGTGGTTATCCAAACACTTCTTGGTGCAAAAATACAACCAACACATCTGAAAATGCTTAATAAAGTCAAAGCTCCTCATGCAAAACTTTAAATGTATTGGTTTAACTGAGCTCCAAAAACTGAATGAGACAATTATCCTACCTACTCAGCATTGATGCCTTACTGCTAAATCCCTTTGGAACCTTAAGACTTCTGGAACGTTCAAACAGATGTATTCATCAGTAAAAATATTACATACAAAAAGCATTTAAAAAGGAAGACAAAAAGCCAAACAGGAATTTTCCTATTGTAAATAACAGTCTTAGAAATGGAAGAAAATCTTTTCAGGAACTTCCTTGAGAATTGGTTAGGCCAGTCCGAAGACGAAGATGAGACATAGAGTTCATATGTTTATTTGATGGCTTCAATGGAGTGTTGGAAGTAAGAGCCTGGGGAAAGCGATGGTGGTATCTATCTAGTCGTAAATATTTTACTGTAACCAACTTCCCTGTTGTAAGATAAAAATAGTATTTTAGATCTATAAAACCATGTTTAATATTTGCAGAAAATTAACTGTGGTAAAAGACACATGAGCACAAAACAAAGTCATCTAAAATTGTTACTAAAAAAAATGTTAACCTAAATTCTTTTATTTAAAATCTGGTATAGTCTAAACTATAATTATATTTTCAAAATGTTCATAATACTCAAATTTCTTACCATCAAACCAAGAGCCATGCAATGCTTTAAAAGCCTTTCCAGCATATTCTGGGGACAGACATTTAACATATACACAACCCTGTGATATCAAAAAAAAAGAAAGAAAATAGTCTTAGTTTAATAGTAACAAATCCAAAACAGGAAATTCAATACTAAAAGTTACTTTACCTCACGTGAATTTTTGTCTACTGCAATGTGAACAATGCCATCATTATCACTGCATTTTTCTAAAATTGCTTCTTGAATTGCCAAATGCCACTGATCCCCTATTTCCCTAAAAGTTAAGGAAAACAAAATAAACAACCATATTCCTACTCAGCAAAAATTCTTCATTTGTCTCTTACAACATATATATACTACTAGAATTGGGGTAGTTTAAAAACTACATATAATTTTAATTGGTATTAAGTAAATGCTTGTTGATTAACAGTAGATGGATTAAAAAACTACTAGTATTCAGAAATCTCAGCCCTTCTCTCACTTTCCAGTGAAAGTGCAGAGAGCTGAGGAATGAAAGACTAGCCCACCACAACAGAACAAATGGATTGGGTCATTCCTATGTTCAAAATAACTGTGTACTTAACAGTTATTTCTGTTTTCTTTCTAGTGTCAATAAGCACTTAATGAATTGTGAACTTATTCAAGTTGTAAAAGTGAAACATTATTATTTTCTTTCTTAGACAGGGTCTCACTTTGTCACTCAGGTGGTGTGATCTCAGCTCACTGCAACGTCTGCCTCCCAGCCTCAAGCCATCATCCCACTTCAGCCTCCCGAGTAGCTAGGACTACAGGCGCACACTATCAATCCCAGCTAATTTCTTTTCTATTTTTTGTAGAGACAGGGTTTTGCCACGTTGCCCAGGCTGCTCTCAAACTCCTGAGCTCAAGCGATCCATCCACCTTGGCCTCTCAAAGCCTCCCAAAGTGCTGGGATTATAGGTGTGAGCCACTGTTCCTAGCTGAATGTTATTTTCTTTAATTTGAACATTTAATTTAAAATTCCTAAAGAAAATTCTTAGTAAATACTATATTTGAGCTTGTCTTTTCCAAAATAATGATACAGAACTAACATTTTGTAGAGTCACCTTACTATAATGACAGTTTTAAGGTTTTTCTGCTGTAGTAATGAACATACTTGTCTTATTTGTGAGACAAAGAAGGTAGGACAGAGGGGAACATGACTTCACCTTATATCACAAATTTTCATCTTAGGTAATAAAATAGTGGATTTTCAAAGTCCTGAGATATGAGGTAAGATTCCCAACAGAGGTATCATCACACTGCTGTTTCTATCTCTGCAAAACAGAGGTGTTTGTGTGTGTCTCTCTCTCTCTGTGTGTGTGTATGTATGTGTGCATGTGCATGCATACTACTTCCTCATATTTCCAACTTTGCTGTCACTTGTTTAGAATTTCATCAATGAGTTATTAGATGAGACTTTGGGGGTATTTTATACATATTGTAATTGCCACTGTTGGGATTTTTAAAACCAACAGAATTTGATTTGTAATATCACTGGATAGGTAAGTAGTGACCTCAGGAAGCTAATTCTAAGAATCATTGCAGCTTACACATGAAATACTATGAATTCTAAGGCAGTCACTTTTGACCGTGGTATTCTCTGGAAGCGTATTGTTCCAGTTGTTGGAATTATAAAGTCTGAAAAGTTCCTCAAATATTACATTGACAAGCAGTGATAGGACTTTATAGAGAAGAAGGTGTACACATCTTTGTAGGAAACTTTTTACAATTTGAGATTTGAAATTTGAAATTAGTAAGAAGCAGTGATTTTTTAAAAAATCTATATTGTCTATCAAGGCAAAAATGTATATAATATTACTTATACATTTAATAAAGGGCACTCTTTGTCACTGTGAGTCATTAATTTGCCTCAGACATTTATCTATTTACCTGCTATGAGGATTCATAATGAATACAAAGATTTATAAAAGCCTTAAAAATCTTTATACATTAGTGTCCTTTGGCCAAATCTTTACTTAGAATTTAATAAAAGAGAAAAACATAGTGTTTCTGTAGTAGAGATTCGGAAGAAAGACATTTTCAATTACAGACACACCATTATAAAAATATCATGCATTTTCCAGCCAAATCTTCAGAATAAGAGTTACAAGTACCCCTGATCATAATACTTACATAACAGGATCAAACATATTCCGAATCTTTAGACACGGTGTCAAACTATTTGGTGGTGAATTTCTTCTATCTAAATGAAATGCTACAAAATAACAAACTAGTTTTACTATTTGTCATTGTTCCATTTTGTTGAATGGCATTCAATCATTCAGTTCATTTGAAAAATATTGACTGCATGCTTTTACTATGAGCCAGACCCCTGGTCAGATGTTAAGGTGAATGAGATAGACAGTCATTGCTACCAAAGAGTTTATAGTTTAATGGGAGAGACAGATGGTAGAGTATCATGCAAGAAAGTACAACTGTGATTAAGTCCTAAGAAAGATAAGTACAGAAAGCTGTAAAAGTTAACCTCAAATGAGAGTATTAGATAAAACTTCTCTGAGAAAGTGAAATTTATGTGGGAATTGAATAAAAATTAGCAGGGTAAAGAGAGATGTGTAAAGAAAATTTCAAGCAGAGGTGATTGATTGTACACAGCTCCTGGGGCAAGAAGGAACTTGGTGTATTCTAGTAATAGCAAATGTGGCTGGAGTCAATAGAATAGAAAGATAAACCTACAGAAGATGTTAGATTATTTAGGATGATGTAGGTCACATTAAAGTATTTGGGCATTATCATAAGAGTAACAGAAAGCCACTCAAGTGTTTTAAGGAGTAGAGTAGTACGAAATCTGTCTTTTAAAACTACAATTTAAAAAAATACATTGTTATGTGGAGACTCAATTAGGTAAAAGCAAAAGTGAGTGGAAGGCAACCAGTTAGGTTATTATATTATAGTTGTCTAAGAAGGAGAGGATAAATGAAGGGGGTAAGACAGGCCAACAGTGCAGGTGAAAAGCAGATAGAATCAGGGTATATTATGGAGTAGATAATTTGTTACATAAGGTAAACAAGTGCCATGGTGGTTTGTTGCACCTAACAACCCAAACCCATCATCTAGGTATTAAACCCCGCATGCATCAGTTATTTACCCTGACAAAGCATCACTTATATGCCATGTTTAAAGAAGCCTCTTTTTCAAAGTAAATATTAATTGATGAATAAAAAGCGAGTGACTGGATTTTTCTATTGCAAGTCCAAAACAACTTACTTACCTTTTCCACAAATACTATGTTTAGCAAATATTGATAAACATACTTTTATAGGAAAAAGTCATAATTTTCTGATGCATTGCTTTCTGCTTTTCCGTGCAGTAAAGGTTTGGGAACATACGGTAGCCAATCTTCAAAACCCCCTACATACTTACTCCTTACTTATGTATACATGTTTTTGAAACTATGTAGGCATTAAGAAAAATACGGAAAGATATCCACAAAAGTTACTTGGCAGGAGGGATATATAAATAGGTCTATTTATTAATTAAAGGTAAGAAAGAGGAGGCAAGCAAAAATTGGAAAAAAGAGCAGTTAAAAAGTTATGATTTCACTTATATACATATATGTTATATATATTATGTTGTATATTAATATAAATTATGTGTCTTATTTACATAAAGAAATTAGATGAAAAGAATGCAGTTAATATATATAATACTAAGTTGCTTTAAGTGAAAAAGCAAGATTCAAAGAATATTCAGCTTTATTAAAGATAAGCCAATTATGTTTGCATTAGCAAAGAAAAAAGTATGGAAGGATACATAAGAAGCTAACACTGATTCCTTCTGTGAATTGGAACCAGAAAGAGAGCTTTTGCCTTTGTACATCTTTGAATTGTACTGTTTCACTTAACACATTTTTGTCATTTTGAAAAATTAGAAGAAAATTACTTTTTTGTTGTTTAAAAATACGTACCTTGACCCTGCCATACTTTAGAAGGTATAACTAATATTTTGTCACAGGATGCAGAAGGCTGGATCCATCGCCAAACCAGAAAATCTGCACCACCTATTCTTCGTGTTTCCGTGCGAACTCTAGACTCATTAGCGGCAAGGAAATCAACAGCTCTATTCCAGACTTTCTTCATTTTTTTCCTATCATGTGAACAAAACGGCAAATTTGCTGTCATCTTGGCTTGTCATCTTTCGGGAATATTAGTATTTGAAGTAATGATTAACTCTAGCTGTTATTACCACTACTCATGGAGTTGGTTCAAAGAAGATTTAGATGCCTATACCTCATCTCAGATTTACTGAATTTCAATTTCCAGAGCTAGAACACAAACATCTGTATTTTTTCACCAAAAGCTCCACTGGTGATTATGTGTTGCTAGAGTCAAGATGCTGCTTTAGAATATGGAATTAGCTTTTATTTTCAAAAGCTATATTTTAGTTTTTTAAAAGCTTCATTAATAATAAAATTAGTACTTCAAAACATTAGTAAAACACAAGCCACTGGCTATCATCTGTCTATTTCTTTATCAAGATGAGATTAAAGGAAATAAGATGGAGACGAATAACAAAGAATCAAGAATGCATAGGAATGAGAAGGACTTAAAAATCCAGTTGTCATTCAAAATCAGGAAAATAATAGAAGAGAATTTAGAAAGAGTATGAAGTACACACACACCAAAAAAAAAAAACTGTGCACTAAGCAAGTCTAGATGAGAAGAGCCACAACTCTCAATATAATTTTCAATATTGCAGAAAACACCTATATTCTGATTTACTTGAACTCACAATACTTTGAACACACCTGTCATGAGGCTGTATTAAAGAATCGCGTACATGTGGAATAGGCATGTAAGGTTGTAAATCTTTGTTTTCCTGGCATGCTTCATTATGACTTCGTAAAACATCTAAAAATAAATAAAATTTACAAATGAATCAATCACTTGACATAATGTTGTAGTTTAATCACATAATGACTCTTCTAAAAATAGTTGAGATTCTTACAAATACCATACCTATAATCTTTACCACCATATCATACATCTGCCTCGTTTCCTCCTCCTCTTTTGTCCAACGATATTTCATGTAACGCAGAACGACACAAACCATCACTACACCTGCAATGGGCATATATTTTGTGTTTTAAAAACTGTGGTCAATCATTCAATAATATTGCAGTGAGTATTTTAACTGCCACAATGGAATTAACCTTCAAGACAGATGGCTGAATTAGCCATATAATTAAAACTACATTAAAAAATTTAATACTGAACATTTTCCAAAGTTTCACTTCTTTCTAGAAAAAAGCATTTCTTCCATTACATTGACAAGTGAACATTTATATTCTCAATACTATTTTTAAAAAATAAAAACTATGTTTCACAAGTTTTTTCCTTTGCAGCATAAAACGACTAGAAAAGTGAATCTCATAAGACTAAACATACTACATCTTACTTTAAGTAAAATGAATTTTTGTTTGTTTTGTTTTGGAGACAGGGTCTTGCTCTGTCATCCAGACTGGAGGACAGTGGTGTAATCATGACTAACTGCAGGCTCCAACTCCTAAGCTCAAGAAACCCTCCTACCTCAGCCTCTCAAATAGCTGGGACTATAGGCACGTGCCACCATGCCCATCTAATTTTTAGAAATTTTGTAGAGGTGGAGTCTCCCTATATTACCCAGGCTGGTCTTAAACTTCTGAGCGCAAGCAATCCTCCTGCTTCGGCCTCCCAAAGTGCTAGGATTACAGGTGTGAACCACTGCGCCTGGCCAAAATGAATCATTTTTAAAGAAGAAAGGAAAAACTATCACCTAAATCCCTATTATCAATTTAAAAAATGATAAAAATTTTAATTTAGGTAAACGATATTTTAAAGACTAAACATAATTTTAATAAACTTAATTTGTAACATTTTATTATTTAAAAATAAGCTAAATTTTTGTATTTTTCAGTTCTACTTTCTAAGGTAGATTTCTATGTATACAGTGACCATACTTATTTTTTCTGACAGTCTTGTAACAAAGTTTTAGAGTTTTATTCCTACCGCTCCTTATATTACTGTTTTCTAAGCCCTTAGAATGATACTAACATTACTTTAAAAAAAACCCAACTTTATTATATTTAGTGAAGACATCCAGCTGTGATTTACGCAGCAACCACCACAAAAATGATTTCTCAACTCTGGCATTTAGTGAAATACACACAAAAATTCAGACTGCAGTTTATATCCTTTCTTTACAACTTACCTAAGCATAATAACAACAATCTGTGGGTTACAGTAACAAAAGCACGTCGAAAACGACACCAAAAAGACATCAGTGGTCTTGTGGACTGTAAAAACTGCACATCAGTTATATTTGTCAATTCTTCCTCAGGCCCAAAACCAACACACCTATTTTAAAATAATTAAGGTAGAATTTAAAGTCAAAATCACTTTTCACAGTACAAAATGGTCAAAATAGAAATCAGATCCTTTACCTTATTCCAACATCTTTTCCATTTTCTAAGATCCACTGCAATGAAGTGTTAAATATGCCTTCATATTCAGGACCTAAATCCTAACAAGAAAAACAGAGAAAAAAATAACTATTCTTAATAATCCACATTCATTTGACTCTCTATAAGGTATTCTTTATAACATACTCTATATGGAATTTTTCTTTTAACTATATAACATAATAAAAATATTATTCATTACAGAAAAATTTTAAAAGAATGAGAAAAAAGAAAAAAAGTCACCATTTTCCCACTACAATATAATCAGTGTTAATATTTTGCTTTCTTTGTTTTTTTTTTTATTTTACATATTTGGGAGCTGAGCCTCTCTAACACTCAGGCTGGAGTGCAGTGGTGCAATCTTGGCTCACTGCAGCATCCGCCTCCTAGGTTCAAGCCATTCTCCTGCCTCATCCTCCTGAGTATCTGGGATTATAGGCATCATTACCATGCCTGGCTAATTTTGTTTTTTGGTTTTTTTTGTATTTTTAGAGAGATGAGGTTTCAGGAAGCTCCTAACCTCAAGCAATCTGCCAAAGTGCCAGGCTACTGCACCTGGCTTGTAAGTTCTTTTTTTAATCATTATTTTATCAGTGCCATCATAACAATAACAGTGAATTTTCCACTTTTTAAAATGCAATACTACTTACAGATGAAAAATAAATGGCAAACTCTTCCAGATTAGGATGTTTCACAGACATATTATCAACACATAAATGCAGTAAACCTATCAACTAAAGAAAAACCGACTGGGTTACCAATCATAAGATTTGAGCATTCAAGTAAAAAGTAGAATTTTGAAAAACTAGTATTCATCTTTCTGACCTGGACAATTTTACAATACTTGAAGACCTTTCCAGTGAGATTTGTGTGATATTAACAAATGCAGTTTTTTGATACGGAATAATGAAATAATACCAATGCATTTGAAAATGACCAATGCATTTGAAAAATACTGGTTTTTATAAAAACCAATCACATATATAACATCATGCATAGGCAAAAGATCCATTTAAAGTGCAAAATAAATGAAAGGATTTTATGAGACAAGAGTACAAAAAGATATAGTTTGACATTCCACAATCGCAAATAACATTGAAGAAACTACTACTTATAGAGGTTTGGTATGGTATCAAAGAAGAGTATCTATCTACAATTATCTGAAAAGGCAACTAAAATACTTTCCAATGTTTTGACTACATAACAATGTGAGGCTGGTTTTTCATGATGTTCAACCAAACCATCATGACAGATTGAATACAGAGGCAGATAAGAATCCAGTCACCTTTTATTAAGCTACACATTTAAGAGATTTGTAAAATATATAATGCCACTCTTCTCATTAAATGTTTTCATTTTGGAAAAGTTATTTTTCATAAAAATACATTATTTAACATTAAACAGATTCATTTTTCTTCTAAATACATAAATTTTTTGTTTTAATTTTTAATATAAACGTGTACTTGTAATACATATTTACCATTAGAAAATAAATATATCTAATATAGACAAAAACATATAAATGTATATATCCCACAAACAAAAACCAGAGTCCTGAGTAATTATAGGGAAACAAAAAGTTTAAGAACTGCTATGTGTGGGTAGAGTATGCATTTTTAAATTAAAATAGTAAAAATAAATATGGCATCATATTACACATACTATTGTTCTATTTGCTTTTCTCATGGAACAAAATATTGCATCAATGTCAGTATACATGGGAAAACCCCTATTTTTTCAACAAAATCGTATTCCATTGTATAATTATTCTATACTTTTAATCAACTTCTTGTTAGTTAATGAACAATTAGAGCAAAACCAATTTTTAAAATCAAATATAGTACTGTTATAAACATCTTTACATAAAAAATAAATATTCATGCAACAAATATTTGTTGAGGGCCTACCATTTGCCAAGTACTATTTTAGAAACTAGAAATGCAGCACTAAACGATGCAGTCAAAATTCCCTGGGTTCTTGGAACTTGTATTAGTATATCTTTATGTCCTTTTTGAGCCAAAAAAAAAAAAAAAATTTTTTTTTTTTAGTTGCCCAGGCTGGAGTGCAGTGGTATGATCTTGCCTCCCTGCAACCTCTCTCTTCAGGACTCAAGCGAAGTGTTTTGTCTCAGCCTCCCAAGTAGCTGAGATTACAGGTGTGTGCCACTATACACCCAGCTAATTATTATATTTTTAGTAGTAGTAGAGACAGGGTTTCTCCATGTTGGCCAAGCTGGTCTCAAATTCCTGGCCTCAACTGATCCACCTGCCGTGGCCTCCCAAAGTGTTGGGATTACAGGTGTGAGCTACCATGCCTGGCTCATCAAGGAAAACATGAATTTCTAAAAATAGAAATAAGTCATTTTAAAAAAACTCTCTAAAAAAAAGATTTTTCTAAGAGTGCCCTATTGTATTTTATCAACAGATTCTTAAAAGGCATTGAAAATTATGAGGTTTCCATTTGGTCAGTACAGTTTTCTTCCTAATTTAAAGCTGGTAAGTTACTCTAATGTATCAAATTTGCGAATATCATAAAAAGTTTTATAAAGCAGAACTAATCTTGTCGGGCATCATTACAGGAAACTACTATCAGGATTTTTTTTTTTTTTTTTTTTTTTTACTATCAGGATTTTTAAGATGGTGAAGGTAACTATAGGCCATTTTTTTTTAAGCTTGGGTGTTTATTATGGCATTTCCAAATATCAAAAAAAATTGCAGGCAATGTATTTAATGATTTAAAAAAGGCTTATATACAAGATAATTTTAATGGATATTATGAACTTAAAAATAATCATGATGAGAACTAAATAGCTATCTGCTTCAAAAAAATAAAACTACAACATTCAATTTATATATACAGTCATACCTCAGTATTCATGGGGGATTGGTTCCAGGATGCCCTGTGGATACCAAAATCCACAGATGCTGTAGTCTCTGATATAAAATTGCATAGTATTTGCATATAACCTATGTACATCATCCTTTATACTTTAAATCATTTCTAGATTACTTATAACACCTAATACAATGTAAATGAATACAGTTATATTTTTAAAATCTGTATGTTTTTCATTTCCTTTCCTTTAAGTCTCACAAATATTTTTGATTTATGGTTGGTTAAATCTGTGGATGAAAAACCCATGTATACAAAGGGCCAATTGTATTTATAATTATAAAATATATGTACTCATGAGTAGCACTAGAAAAGAATGAGGATACAAGTGATTTTTGTTTGCTTTAATACTGTTTTCAAATGTTATGCAATAAAGTTACACAAAATTATCAGGCAATTAGTTTCAATTGTTACAAATATACTACTAGAAATCACTTATACGACTAGAAACATGTATAAATGAAAATCTACAAAACAAGATTAATATAGGTTATCAGTATAGCTGGAGACATTACTGTATTTATTCTTTATAATGTTGTCACTATATACTTATAAAAAGGATTTTGTAGTCATTTAGTTCTTCAAAGACACAGATGCCATATATACATGTATATATTAAAAATCAATGAAATAAATGTTGTATTTACTTGTACTTATACATGCTATTTAGTTTGTATTACTATGATTTGCCTAGTATCATGGTATGCTTTGCATTACTACATATACTATTGGACAAGTATAATCTAGTCTTTGAAGACTAGACTATAAACATAAATTTCAGATAACATAAAAACAAACTCCCAAGGTTACTAGCAGTAAATTTTAAATATAAAAAATTTAGGAGGCTGACAGCATTATAAATATTACTCTTCTCATCAAATATCCTTTTAAAATGTAAATAACGGTTCAAATTAACAAGGACACCTAAGGATCTAAAAAGCTAAGTATGAGGAAGAACAAAGTGCTTAAATAGTTACAAAATAGTGACAGTAAGAAAAGAGGATCTGTTGTTATTTTCCCTTTTCCTGTTTTCCTTTCCCTTGTTAATATCAGTTGATATCCACTCACTATCTGGAATACAACAAAACCATGGAATGTTCGTTTTATGGGTACACATTTTTAATAAAAAACTGATTATTTAAAAACCTCATTAAGGACTTAATAGAGTGTTGAGGTCTAAAATATGCCACTATTTCCACAAATATATATCTACACAGTTATATAGCATTCTAGAGTATTAGAAAACGGAATTTTTATAAAAGCAAAAACTGAATTATTTGCTTGTGCTAAATAGTTCATGCTAATATTGTAGCACACATAGCATATACCTGATTTTAAGAGTTTAAACTGTTTTATTATTCACTTTTTGTAGCCACCTGGAAAGCTGTGGGTATGGCAGGGGTTGGTTAACTTCTTTTTTTCCAAAAAGGGCCAAAGAGTAAACGCTTTAAGCCGTGCAGCCATATAAATACCTTTCCTTTCTAAAAAGCAAGCATTAAAAATACTATAAAACCACAGCTCACAAGCCATATAAAAACAGGCAAGCTGGATTTGGCCCATAAGCCACAGCTTGCTAACCTCTGAGGTAAGGCATTCCAGCATCATAAAACAAACATTTTCCAATAACTGATGACAAAAATCGGGAGCAAACTATTTTTAATTTTTATGGCATGACTTTTATTCCTATTGCTTATTACTATTTACTTATAGTCAATAGTTCAGTCAGTATACCACTGACTGCTTCATATAAATCTTTCTAAACTCAAAGCATATTTTTCCAAATCTTAAATCTAACACTTTATGTGTGTACACATGCATACCCCCATGACTTCTCCCAAATGTTCTATTTTCAAAATAATGGGTCAAAAATGTGTATTTAAAAACCCACATCAGATGCTGTGAATTTAGATTAACTTTTCAAAGTAGAGAAACAATACTGTTTTATTAAATAAGGCAACAAAACTTTAATTAGTAAGAAGGAAAAAGGCACTGGTATAGGGAGAAACCAAGCAAGGACTAAAAACCTAATATGGATAGCTTATGAAACTGATAATTTACATTTTAATAGCTATTCAGCTTTCCAGCTGGTGAATCTTCTAGTGAACTGTGAGAAGATATACACTATACATCAGCTGGCACCTTTTACATTTAATTAAAATATAACACACAG